GAAGGAAGGAAGGAAGGAAGGAAGGAAGGAAGGAAGGAAGGAAGGAAACCTCAAGAAGCCATGGGTTCACGCCCCAGGACACATGTCTGTCCTTCTGTCCTTTAGACCTCCAAGTCTCAAGCCCATCATTAGCCAGGCACTATAGCTTCTATCTAAATCTGTTTCCTTCCCTTTATCTTTGTCTGTTTCATACATCCACGCAGCAAGGCCTGCTTTATTTTTCAAACCCAGACAGCCGGCACTGTGCATGCCCATCAGCAATGTAAATGGGTACCAGCGGCTGGGGCTACTGAGCTCCACTAACTGCCCATCTCTAACCATCCGGGCCTCACAAAGGCTTTCGCCAGTTCAGTCAGACTGAAGTATTCGGAAGACCTCCAGGGTCTTCCTCTTTCCTCTCTGGCCACATCGCCTCTTGGGGACCTGAAGGGAGGTTTGGCTTTGCTCACTGGTGGAGTATCAGCCTAGCGTGTGCAAGAGCCGATACTGGTTTTAATCCCCTGTGAGAGAGGGGATGTGTGTGGGAATGCAATGTTGCCTAGGCTCAAGTCATCCTCCTGCCTCAGCCCCCAAGCAGCTGCTTCACTCCGCACACACACCACCACTCTGTGTGCGAGTCCCCATATGATGTTCCTCTCCGTGGCCCTGTCTTCCTTTTACCTGTGCAATCCCCTCGGGAGCCTTGGAGCTTCAGCTGCTGGATATGTGGAAGTCTCAATTTGTAGCTGTAGTTCACAGCTCTCCCTTCTCCTTCAGAGCCGTGTGGGAACCCGCTCTCTACACATCACATTCGTTATGAATGTCTCCAGGTACCTGCTCAAGTATGTCCTAACTCCGAGTTCCTCCCACCAACTCGCTCTTTACCTACGGTCTCCATTCATAGTGAGCGACACCACTTTTCATCATTTTTACCCAAGAATTGAGAGACTCCAAAAACAGGGGTCTCTCTCTCTCTCTCTCTCTCTCTCTCTCTCTCACCAGCATCAGGTCCTCGTCTCATGGTTTGTGCGGAGGACTGGCCTGGAGTTCCTGCGTAGCCAGTTTCTCACCAGCTGTCTTGTTTCCCCCCGAAACTGTTCCACTCCGTTTCTCATTATAGCAATCCAGAAGGTGACAGCTTCGCCCCTCAAGTGGACAGCCACTTGAAGCTCCCGAGGAGGCCATTAAGTTCAGCCAAGGACCCTAGAAGCTAGCTCGGCTCCAAGTCACATCAGTGCTATTTTTCACCTTTCAGTAGCCAGTGTGGTCTGCTCCCCTTCCCTTCTTCCAGCCCCCAGTGCTGGGGATCACACTCAAGGCTTTGTCCAAGTTAGGCAAGTGTTCAGTCACCACATCCACCCAACCCCGGAGCAGCCTTCCTAAAGCACAGAACTTGCCAGGTTCTCTGTCTTGCTCTGGATCTTTTTCTGGCTCCCAATCAGCTAAAACGTCGTCTCTTCAAGTCCTAACTCCACATCCCTCTCTAGCCTCCATACTCTTTCTTGCCTTCACTTCTCACCTTCTCTCCATGTTCTAACCACACCAAAAAGACATTTCTCTGCAGCGGCCTGGAGGTCGACCAGATGTCCTCGCCCTTCTGCTAGCACCCTGCACCTTTCCTGTACTGTACTAACCATTGTCTTGCCAGAAGTTTACTGAGAACAGAACTGGGCCTGAACTGTGTGTGCACAGAGTAACACCCTAAATGGTTTATGAAGAATGGCCAAGAGAACTCATCATCATTGTTGGCAGCACACAAAACCAGAGAGAATAAACCGGTCCTCTGCGCTGTGCTAACCTGATCTGTATACCTTTTTCTGGGCCTCTGTTTTTCTTCACCCAACAAATGGGAGCATCCATCCCTGAATCCTTTCCAGTTCAAAGGACCTGCTCTGCCAGCCTCTGGGGACCCTGGAAGTTCTCTAGGAATCAATGGAGGTTGAAATGTGTTAGGACTGCTGCACATTTGCATCCATACACACAGAGACAGCTATCTTTTGGTTACTTAAAAAAAACTCTTCATTTAGAGATTGAAGAGCTCCCCCTCTCCTGCCATGAAAGGTCAGTGGTATCTTCTTAAGAGTCCAGAACAGAACAGATACAGTGTTTATTTCAAGGCGGTGGGGGGGGGGGTCCAAAGGTGCTGGAGAGATGGGTACATGAAGCCTGAAAGGCCAGCTCTTTAATCCATCAAGATTGTACTGATCTTCCCAGACCACAGTCACCAAGCAAAAATTGGTTTAGTCATCATGAGGAAAATGGGTTATGTGACTGCTGTACTTTATACTGCATAGTGACTCCAAATGAAAGCGATGCTAATAAATGACCCAATCCGAGAAGAAAGAGAAGGGACAATTTTCTCACTGAAAAGAGCGTAAGGAAACTTAGTCAGTGTTACACACTGTTCATCCTGAAATTCTGCTGCTGTGTTGAGCTTTAAAAGGAAGCCTCAAACCAAGTGATTGCTCCAATTAAGGTTCTTGTGAGGAAGAGGGTTTTGCAGTTCAAAGTCCTGCTAATAACTGGTGGTCATATTAAAGTGAGCCATCAGTTGCTGACCTATTAAGATGTTGTATACCTCGTGGGCAGAGTAAAGCCTATGCTACTGTAACCTTTTACATGCATCTGTTTGTTCTTCAGTTTGAGGGAAGCTATCATGAAAGTGAATACGCGCGTGCGCGCACGCGCGCACACACACACACACACACACACACACACACACACACACACACTTCCCCTGTATAAAATCTAAGTACATACAACCATTGCTATTTTTGTTTCTGTGGTTCTTTCCCTTCTGTAAAAATCTATTTTTTTTCTTAAAAAGAAATATTTAAAGAATCTGTTATTATTTTAATTTAATTAACCCATTTTTGTTTTGCTTTTTTGACACAAGATCCATTTACCTCTGCCTCCCAAGTGGTGGGATTCAAGGCATGTACCGTAACACTTGGCCTGTTTTATTATTTTAAAGTGTGTGTGTGTGTGTGTGTGTGTGTGTGTGCGTGTGCACACGCATGGTATATATTTTTCTGGAGACAGGGTTTTCTGTGTAATAGCCCTGGTTGTCCTAGAACTCACTCTGTATACAAGGATGGCCTTGAACTCACGGAGATCCACCTGCCTCTGCCTCCCGAGTGCTGGGATCAGGTGTGTACTACCTGATAGAGGAAGTGGCTCTACAGCAGGTGTCAGGAGTCGACGCCTGGCCTGAGAAGCAGCACGCCAGCTTTAGGAGTGGAGGTGACAATGAAGAGCGACTAGGAAAAAAGTAGATGAGGATGGAATGAAAGTGAAAGTGAGCTTCTGCTCCAGATCTTACCAGTGTTCAGTGTGTTCCGTGGAGAAAAATGGACCTTTATCACCCATAGCAGGAGACTCCACGGTCATCTCCACAGGGAGCCACTGGAGGGTCCTCCTGACATTCATGGACCCAGAACTCTATCAGGAGGTGGGGTCGCCAGTCCTTGGGTCTTACAGGTCGACATGGAAAAGCTGAGTCAAGCATAGTGGCACACTCCTGCAGTCTCAGCATGAGATGGGCGGGGGAGGGTAAGGAGTCAAGGCCAGCTTTGGCTACAGGTCAAGTTCATGTAGCCCGGGCTTCATGAGACTCTGCCTCAGAAAAAGAAGAAGAGGACGAGATGGAAGAAGAGGAGGAAAAGGAGATGGAAGAGGAGAAAGAGGAAGAGGAAGATGAGTGAGTGAGTAGGAAGGAAAGGAAATGCTGAATAACCCAAAAGGGAGCAGGGAATTGGTTTTCAACTATGAGTGGTGATTGGCAAACCACAACAGAACTTCTTTTCCATGCACTGACCCAGCTAGGACTCACAAATGGTAAAATACTGGGATTGTACCTTAGAACAAACCCAAGAGAAGGCCCTCCTTGGTTAAGGTGGTGCCCAGGGACAGAGTGTTTTGCTTTGAAGGGTCTCTTTAACGCTGTGTCCCATCCAAGTCCAACAGACAACATCTCTCAGTGGGCAGCGGTAACTTCCTGTCAGATGACACTGAAAGCCAGGGGAACACACAGGCAGTGAGAGCTTTCACCGACTAGATACGGTGCTTTCTGGCTGCAGAGGCGGCCACAGCCTAACTGCAGAACCACCTGTTTAAAGTGAGAGGAAAGGCTGCTCTTTTAAGTCCTTTCTAGTTTGGGGTTGGGGTGATGGCTCAGGGTTAAGAGCACTGTCCACTCTTCCAGAGGACCTGGGTTCCAGTGCTAGTACCTACATGGTGAGTCACATGTTACTCCAGTTCCAGGGGATATGATTCCCTCTTCAGACCTCTGCAGGCACCAGGAACACATGTGGTGCCAAGACATAATACACACAGGCAATACAGTCACACACATACCAGAAAGGTGGTGGTGGGGGAGTCACCGGTTTGTATAAAAGTTGTTTTAAGTTCTCGGTACTTCCTGTTGTCACGTAGCAAATAACCTACTGAACAGTCCGTATCTGTGACAAGGCGTGAGGACGGAGGGGAAGGCCACGCCGGAGATGGAGGCTGCTGATATCTTAGCACAGGAGCTACTGAAGTGAGTTCACGCTTTGCATTTTTATCATCCATATATGCCATTCCCTATTTAAAAGGAAGAAGAAGGAAGGAAGGAAGAGAGGGAGAAAGAGAAAGAGAGAGAGAGAGAGAGAGAGAGAGAGAGAGAGAGAGAGAGAGAGAGAAGCAGAGAGAGAACCCTGAAGAGAGTCCTGCTTGGGGACGCTGAGGCTAACAGTTCTGTGCCCTCTACCTTCCTTCTTCCTTTCACACCTGAAGAGTTCAGAAGATGCGCAGGAATGCAGAACATTTCAAGCAGCTGTAAGAATCTCCATTCTTGGTCATTCCTAAGCAGTGGCCTGCTGGGGATGTGTGTTAAGGAGCCTTCATCAGCATTTTCAAAATTGAACCCTCCAACTCCCACTGGCGTTGACTTCTTAGTTTGGTGTCTGTCACTGTGATAAACACCGGGGCAAAAATGAACCGGGAAGCATTGATTTGTCCTTCCAGTCCCACTCCATCCTTGAGGGAAGCCAAGGTAGGCACTCAAGGAGGGAGCCTGAAGCAGAGAGCGGAAAGAAAGGCTGCTTGCTGGCCATGTAGATCTCAGCCAGCACTCTCAGACAGGCCTGGGCCAACTGCCCAGGGTGGCACCACTCACAGGGTGCAGGGCCCTCCCACATCAATCAGCAATCAAAAATTGCCCCTACTGACATGTCCACATAGCATCTGATTGAGGCAATTCCTCAATAGAGGTTCCCTTTTCTCAGGCGTATCAACTGCAAGCCAAGACTGCGTCTCAGGGTTCTGTACGCAAGTCATCAGAAAAATAAGCACTGCAAAGTGCAGAGAGAAGATGGACCCTGGACTGGACGGAGATGGAGGTGGTTGGAGGTGGGGGACGCTCTTACCGTAACAAATGCAGAGCCCTGCAGGCTCCACCCAGTTCTTCAGACCTGCACACTCATTGGCCTATGCTTGGAGGTACAAACTATGCCAGCTGAAGATAAATGCGATAAGAGCCTCGAAAGCAGGAACTGAGTTGGCCTTATTTTACTGCTGAATATTCCTATGACCTAAGGCCCAATGCAGCACTCGGGAAATAGACGGTGCTTAGGAAACACTGTGGCTCAATGACTGATTATTTCATAAATTGTGTGCTATGTCAAAAGGTGTCTTATTGGCATGGCCTATGCTGAAGACAGTAATTGTACATAAAAACTTTCTTTTTAATGTCTTTTTGTACATAGTTCATGCTGAACAAGAGATGTACCACAGAGGCACATACCCAGCCAAACAATTCTATGTTGTATTTGCTCATGATTTTTCATGCAATAGTTAACATTTTAGAGCATACGTAAGATATATAACAACTTTCGTGACAATGCTGGTTCTATTTATCCAAAGATGACTTCATGGGTTATTTTCTTTGTTCCTCGAGCTTTGAGGGCGGGGAGCCAGTGGAGACCGACAACCTGGGCTCTCTCTCTGTATCCATTCACAGCAGCTACCAGAGGCTGCGTCTCTGAGGGTGACTAAACTAGGCACCGAAAGGGTTCCGTACCAGATAGTAAGCCTCTCCACCGACGCAGCAAATCAAACTGAATTGAGAATTAAAAGTCCAGGTTTAATGAGTAAAATGCTCCCAGATGATTTTATTGGCCCCCAGAGAGGAAACAGGAAAAGAGAACAAAAACCACATGGCCACTCTCTAGGGGGCAGTTTATGGTCTTGAGCATCTCCAGCGGAGGAGCGCCATTTGGTGCACTTTTCTGAAATGCGGCCGGGTTAGGGGGGTGGTAGTGGAGGAGGGGGAGCTAAGGTGAGCAGGTGAGCTCCCACCTGAACAGGCACAGCAGAACATATTTAGGACTCATTTTGTTGCCTTTTTTCCTCTTTTGGCGAGTTGTGTCTGGTTCTACCAAAGGTCTCTCAGCTATCCAGCCTCCAGCTCCTTGTCATCCAGCAAGTGTCGGACATTAGACCAGTCGTTGGTGACCATTCCAACAAGTTCCGTGCCACCATTGCCCCAGCACATCTTGTAGGCAAGACAGTGTTGTGTGATGTTTTACTCTTTGACTTTTTGAGGGGGCCACCACCCAGCTCCCAAATAAATCACACACAGAGATTTATTCTTAGTTAGGAATGCCCAGTCTTGGCTTGCTTGGCTTGTTTCTTGTCAGTTTTTCTTAGCTTAAATTATCCCAACTACCTTTTGCCTCTGGGCTTTTTCCTTTTCTTACTTCTGTATGTCTTACTTTCATTCATTCTCCATGGCTGGCTGGGTGGCTGGCGCCTAGCGCACTCCTCTCCTTCCTCTTTTCTCTTTCTAGTTATACTCTGTACCTGCCAGCCCTGCCTATCCTTGATCCTCCCTTGCTATTGGTCATTCAGTTCTTTGTCAGACCATCAGGTGTTTTAGACAGGCAAAGAATCACAGCTTCACAGGGCTAAATGCAACATAGACAAAAGTCACACACCTTAATATTCCCCAACAGATAGTAGGTTGAAAGTTTTCTGGCTGGGTTGTCCCAGTCCCACCACTGATTGGTTACAGAAGACAGACAGTTCAGGCTCCGCATCCTCCATTTCTAGGAGTCCTCACTAGGGTCACGATCATAGATTCTAGGGCGATTCCACTGCACTAGGTTTCCACATCACCTACCAAGCGCCCTCCCCCGTTTCCAGTCATTTCTCCTGACACTCTCCCTCCACCCCATCCCTACACCTGATCTCTCCTATTTCCACCCCCACCTGCAAAATCTATTATTTCCTCTTCCAAGGGAGATCCATGCGTCTCCCCTAAAGACCTGTCTGTGCCCATGGATTATAGCATGATTATCCTTTATTTTACAGCTAATATTCACTTACAGGTGAGTACATACCATGTATGTCTTTCTGGTTCTGGATTACATCACTCAGATTTTTTCTCTAGTTCCAACCGCTATCCTGCAAATTTCTTATCATATTTGTAACTTTTGAGTAATACTCCCTGTGTAAATGTACCACAGTTTCTTCATCCATTCTTAGCCAAGCAGGAAAAGTGAGTATCCACAGTAGATACACTACTGAGAAGTTTCAGGAGAGCAAATATAAAGAGGACATAAAATGAGGGATAAACCACCAGAAAATGAAAATCCAACTCATATAAGATTTACCATCAGTAATAGTGAGGGACCAGCAGATAGAGAATAATTTCTGCAGAGTCCTGTATTTCTAGATTTGAATACAACATTCTTGTATAAACTCAAGTGAAATAAAATAGTAAAATAGAGCAAATCAAACAATCAAACTTCTCCATGGACTATTCTGAGAAAATTATCTGAGGCTAAGATTTTTTTTTTAAAAAAAGACAATGAACAAATGAGAAAACCATAGGATCCGAGTGAGCTTTTAGGTGGTGCAATGGCACTTACTTGTAATCCCAGCACTCGGGAAGAGGGAGGAGTGTTGGAGTCACTAATTTGGGTTCACTCCACCTTCACCAAAGATCAGAGAGTTCAGGCCTGATAGGAAGTTTGACTCAAGGCATGGCTACTACTAACAGGATGTTTTGACCTAGGATAGTTACTTGATGTTCTGAGTATTAAGAAGGTGATTACTTTGTCCCTTGCATCTTGGTAAAGAAACCCTCGTTGGGCTAGGGTTTATAAAGCCTGTGAGAAACAAAGGCAGGCAGGCTCAGGGTTTACTGGGTTGCCCTCTGACTCTTCCTGTGTCTCTGTGTCTTTTGTGTCTAATTCACACCTTCCCTACCATGGAACATACAAACCTGCTGAGGCTGGACCCTGACAAAGGAGCCAGTCTGGCCTAAACAGTCAAACTTTGTCTCAGAAACCAAACAAAAATCTTATGAAATTCATTAATTCCACAATTACTGTGCATTGAAGCCACATTGCATCAGAAGGCTGGAAGACTCTGGAATACATGTATGTATGTATGTATGTGTGTATGTATGTATGTATGTATGTATGTATGTATCTATCTATCTATCTATCAATCTATCTAGGAAGATTGTGTGCCATAAGTAGAATGGTTGAAGGCTGGGTAAATTTGGAGATAAGCTAAGTACTTATTTTTGTGTGCATAATTAGAAACTCAAGGGAAAAGAGCACAGCTATAAAATAAAAACAAAGTATGATAAAAAAAAACTTAACCATGGCAAGATTTTGCAGAATTAATGGAATTTAAAAGAAATGAACCATTTGTCATTTTCCCTTGCCACTGAAAGTGGCACAGCCCTTGTGATAATAAATTTATAGACTGTAAATGATCTGAGCATAGTGAGGGTTCTCTCTGGAGTAAGGAAAATGTTCTAATAGATTACAGACTTGGTTTGCAGAACTCCAAACACACTACAAATGACAGAATTACATATTTCAAGTAGGTCCATGTCATTACAATAAAGCTTTCTTCATTTTTAAAAAAAGCAATGCAAATAAAAACTATGAGAGAGAAATGTAGGGGGTGGTGAGGAAATGAGGATGCCCTGTGTATGTGCCCAAGAGTACAGAGATAACAAACCTGATATTGTTTCAGGAAAGCTTAAGTGTGTAGAGAACTGGCCTGGGGGTGGAGTTCATGGCGGAATGCTGGCCTGGTACACACAAGACCCTGGTTTTGATCCCCAAATCCCCCACCCTAGAAAGAAAAAGGAACTAAAGGAGCCAATAAAAATACTTTTCAAGAATACCTCAGTAAACATTCTAAGCAAGGGAGTGGAGAGTACTATTAATGAGCTCAATCTTTATGCTTTTTTGTTGTTCATGCTACAGTTAAAGCATAATATCCAAAGTTGGTAAAAATCAGAAGCATAAAAAGTAAAAAAGAAGGCAGGTGTGGTGACGTGTCTTCAATCCCAGCACTTGGGAGGGAGAGGCAGGCAGATCTCTGAGTCTGAGGTGATGGTCTACAGAGTGAGTTTCAGGAGAGCTGGAACTAACTACACAGAGAGATCCTATCTCAAAAAAAAAACCAAACCAACCAAACAAAGCAAAACAAACAAAACCCAAAACAACAAACTAAAGAAAAGTAAAGCTACCAGGTATGGAGGCACATATCTTTAACCCCAGCATAGGAGGGAGGGGCAGAGGCAGGTAGATTTCTTGTGTTCTCTTGTGTTTGAGGCCAGCCTGGGCTACAGAGTGAGTTTCAGACCAGTCAGGGATACACAATGAGAATCAGACCAAAAAACCAAACCAAACCAAACAAACAAAAAACAACAACTAGAGAGAGATGGTGTTAAATCATTTAAAGTTCTGGATGTGTAGCCTTGTAGGCAATGAGAGTGGGAGTGAGGAAGGTGGAGACATTTCATTACCACCTTTCATACTATTTCTCCTTCCTCACATGGGTCTAGAGTTCTTTAGTGAAAGAAAGCAAAGACAACAATACAGATAGCAAAGATACAATTAAGAAATAAAAAGAAAGTATTTATGTGGCTCCAACAAGATGCTATCATGTATGAAAATATATTTCATGTTTTCAATCCTCAGTTGAGGTCTTAGAAAATACAAATGACACGGGGGTGTGGGGGTGTGGGTAGTGGCGATTGCCTTTAATCCCAGAGGCAGCGGCAGGTGGATCTTTGTGAGTTAGAGGCCAGCTTGGTCTACAGGAGCTAGTTCCAGGACAGCTAGGACTAGGACACAGAGAAACCTTGTCTCAAAAAACAAAACAAAACAAACAAACAAAACCCAAAATACAAGTACGTGACATTATAAATTTGCAAAGTACGTCTCTATATAAAGCCTTTAATACTGCCACCTTGTGGTGGCAAAATAACTATGAAGGAAAACCCTTGCATTATCCAAAATTTAAAATCTTTATGCTGTGTAGTAATGCATGCCTATTATCACAGCAGTAGGGAGGCAGGAAAAGGTGGATGGTTTCAGGTTAGAGGCCGGCGTGGTGTACATAATGCATTTCAGGCCAATGTAGAGACTCTGTCTTAAAAAATCAAAACCCAATAAAAGATTTAATAGTCCCTGTCTTCACAATTCTTTTTTTTTTAAATATTTATTTATTTATTATGTATACAATATTCTGTCTGTGTATATGTCTGCAGGCCAGAAGAGGGCACCAGACCTCATTACAGATGGTTGTGAGCCACCATGTGGTTGCTGGGAATTGAACTCAGGACCTTTGGAAGAGCAGGCAATGCTCTTAACCACTGAGCCATCTCTCCAGCCCCCTCTTCTTAAACATCTATGTAAAACTGACCTATTCATTACATTTCTCTAAAAGCTGTTTAACTTGTTTAACTTTAAATCCTATTTCTGTTCACACATACACACCCCCTCCCAATATCAAGACTAGGCAAGTGATCTACCATTGAGCTACCCTTCAGTTCCCAACAGCAGCATTTTAATAATAAAAGTATAAATCATGTTGTAATTGCAACACATGATGGGGCAGGTCTGAAGCCAGCTTCGGATATCTGGTGAAGCCTTGTCTCAAAAAACAAAAAAGTAACAGTATGGGGGCTGGGGAGATGGCTCAGTGGTTAAGAGCACTGTCTGCTCTTCCAGAGGACCCGGGTTCAATTCCCAGCAACCACATGGCAGCTCACAACTGTCTGTAATTCTAGCTCCAGGAGACCCAACACTCACGGCAAAACACCAATGTATGTAAAATATAAATAAATTTTTTTTAAAAAGTAACAGTACAATTAATTTCTCACTTTTCAGATGTAGTTCTGTGAATTTTACAAGAAAATAGTTGTGAAAATGTAACAATTAAAACTTACTTATCCATTCTCCCTGGAGGTCTATAGGGCCCCTACAGTCATCTGCTTCTGCTTTTCTGCTGCATGGAAACCACTGCATCTGGAAAGATGACTTTCCAGATCATCTATTACAGTGTGACATATAAGTAGCACAATGTGATGCTTTGGGCCCGGCAGCCTCCACTCAGCATAACCTTTCTTGAGATGTACTCATGTGTATCCCTTCTTCTTACAGGAGAGTGCTAGTCCATTATGTCGATGTGCCAACTGAATGAACTGCCTTCAGCTAGACCAACTGAAGTAACAGAACTGCAAGTATTCCAGCACTGTCTTTTTTGTTTTTTTCTTTTTACTGTGTATACAGCGTTCTGCTTACATGTAAGCCTGCGTGCCAGAAGAGGGTGTCAAGGTTGGGCACCAGGCATTTTATGTGGATAGTCTTAAATACTCTTGAGCATATTATCTAGGAGTGAGGTTGCTTGATTGCAAGGTGAAGTGCACATATAATTTCCTAAGAAACTGCAATACTACTTTAAAAACAAGTGGAATGTAGTATTCTATCAGGCATCCTTAGCAGCAGCAAGCTATTTTAATGGCAGGAGTATCTAAACATTTTTTTTTTTACGTATTTCTTGTGATTAAAGATGTTGGACATCGCAGGGAGGTGGTGGTGGTGCGCGCCTCTAATTCCAGCACTCATGAGGAGGCATAGGCAGGCAGATCTCAGTGAGTTTGAGGTCAGCCTGGTTTACAAAGCAAGTTCCAGGACAACCAGGGCTGCTACACAGAGAGACCCTGTCTTGAAAAACAAACAAACAAACAAACAAACAAAAACCAAAAAAACCCCACCAAAAAATAAAAGAGGAACATCAGCTACAATACACGAAATATGTATTTTCTGCTCACATCTTTCATGAGGAGTCTATGCGGTGTTGGTTATTTTAAATTGGTTTTCTAGTTGAGTGTATACATTGTGATTTCACTGATTTCCTGCTTCATTTAAAATTTTGTCTGCCTTAATTTGGAAAATGAAGTTAGTCCTTGGACAAAGTCTGTAAATACCTTCATTACTTCTCTATGACATCCACAAGAAATGTTTTTTTTGTGGTTTTTTTTTTTTTTTATTTTTTTTGCAACTGCTCTGTACGAGAGAGCGTGGCCTGAAAGAACAGATGATCCCCAGGGCCACTTGGTTGTGACAGCTGGAGCTCCCAAGTGTCATTCAAACAGTCCTGTACATGTCACTTTAAAGCAAGGATAAAGCTTAACACGGAGCCAGCTTAGGAAGTGTTGATACAGTGTCAAAGTAGGACAAACTGGATTTGGAGCCTTGAGACAAAACTTGTTGACACCCTCCCCGCCCCCCATATTGTAGGTTATTCTACTTCACCATCTCCACTTCATACCGCCATACTTGGGACCTTTATGACCAACCGCTCTCAAAGTTTCCTCTCTAGGGTTCTTGTCTCAATAGTGCCCTACAACCAAGATGACAGATTTAAAAAACCAAATCGACATCCCTTCATTTAAAACTCCCAAAGGACCACGTATTCCTCAGCCTAGGTCCGTCCGACTGTTCCTGCTGTTGGCTTTTAGGCTCACTTCTGAGTCCTCTGCTTCCTCCTAACTCTTCCACTTCATGTCTGGGCTAACTATCCAACCTCTCCTCTCCATGTATTAGTTCATTAGAGTATGTGTAGGGATGGAGGTTTGGCTAAGTGGTAGAGCATTTGTTAGCAGGTAGAAGGCCCTGGTTTGCTTTGCAACCCTAATGAAGACTGAAAAACAAAAATCAAAGAATGTTTTGTGCTCCTGGCAATAGCCTACACTCTTCCTATTATCAGCAATATCACCACCACCCCCTGCCGAGACAGTCTCATGTAGCCTTGGCTGTCCTGGAACTCACCATGTAGACCAGATTGGTCTGGAACTGAAGAGATCTGTTTGCCTCTGCCTCTAAAGTGCTGGAATAAAGGGACGTATACTCAAATCGAAGAAATTCTGCATGACTCAATTCCTATTTTTGGTAGAGGGTCCTGAATCCAGGACCTTGTGCATATTAAGCAGTGCTCTATTACTGAAGTACAACTATATTATGTACTTCTTTTTCTGTTTTACAAAAAGTGGAGGGCAGAGGCTGGCTATAATAGAGCACACCTGTAATCCTAGCACTTGGGAGGTGGACGAAGGTTCTCAATTTGGGATCATTCTTAGTCACAAAACAAATCCTCATCTAAGAAAAGAAAATCCTCATCCTGAAACAGGAGCAGTGTGTTTAAGTGGCTGCAGAGGCAGAGGCAGTCTTGCTGAATATTGTGCACTGCCACCCAGGCAAACTTGTAATTTTGTGATGTGCTCAATCAGCATTCCATCATTAATCAGTTTCATACTATACCAACTACCCTCCATTATGATTTGGGTTCTTTGTGCCAAATGTATTATAACGGAAAATTAAAAGAACACTTTAAAAAACTGAACTGTGCCATTAGTTTTAGAACACACAAAGTTGCCTGTTTCATAGCATAGAAACTGGTATTTGTAAAACACACAAGGATCCATTTCCATATCCTGTGAATGCCAGACATCCAGACTGGACATGAAGAAAAGCAAACAAGCAGTCACCTACTAAGGGATAATGTCTTTTTCCTTCCTAGACTGTAGATGTAGTGAGGCAAAAATTAAAAATTCCAAGTTGAAAAGACTTTTAGGTAGTCATGTGAGAAGTTGCATCAATGTCTTTTTCCTTCCTAGACTGTAGATGTAGTGAGGCAAAAATTAAAAATTCCAAGTTGAAAAGACTTTTAGGTAGTCATGTGAGAAGTTGCATCATTATCACACACTTTTATTGAGTGCCCATAGAATTCCCGGCACGTTCATGGTGTTTACATAGCTTTGCTGATACGCTGACCTTGCCCTTAAGGAGCTTACAATCTAGCGGGAGAAAGACGAGAAACGCAGGTGTGAAAGCAATGAGTGAACAGACACTACAGACTGAAAATTCACCATCAACATAAAACACATATTGCAAAATGAGTTAATGGGGGATGGCAAAGATGGTGGATAGCCTTGGTTATATTCCTGACTTCCTGAAGGACATAGATTTAAAATAGGCAAGAGACAAGAGTGAAGTTAAAACACCCAGGATACAAATGAGGTAAGTTCTCCCTTCCTCCCTGTACTTGGGGCACAAGGACTACAGGGGTAGTGGTAATGGGGAGACAGTTTGCAGGACTCTTAGCACCTCTAACCACAGTGGAGCTGGATGACAACAAAGCTACCATGTAGACGACAATCCTAAACTGGTTCAAAGGAGAATAAAAAAGTTTTTCTGCATCAGTTCTATTACATATATAATGCTTCAGGTTAAATGTTTAAGTTGGCTAGAGATGCCACCATGTTAAAGACCAGTAGGCCAGTTATGAAAATACAGATGTGGCAGAGTTACATAGGTGGTGTAGCTCCAATACTGGAAGTTAGTGGATTTGTTGAAAACTTCACCTGTTTATGAAGAAAGTACATTGGCAAATCAAAACGGAAACAGCTAGAGGTAGAAGCTATTCAGAATAACCTGACGGCTATGTTTCATGTAGAACTGAACAAAGGCAAAACCCTTAACACTGTAAGAGATGTTATCTAGTACATCCCCACTGACTGTGAGTTAAATTATGGGAACTTTCCATTATTCTTTGGAAAAAGACTCTTTTAGTCAAGTTGGAGAGTTAGATAGTATTACTCTATCCCCAAACAGTAAAAAGGCAGGCTTGGGATGTAGCTCAGCGGTGTTCAGCATGCTCAACACACATACACCCAAGCACACACACAATAAAATGGCAGCTGTATACTAATGAGAAAGGGCTCAGCAGGATGGAGAGGCACTGAGGAAACTATCTGGAAGGCAAGTCACTACAGGCTGATTCCACCATAAAGTCATGGAGATTATTAGACACTCTTAACAGCTGTTTCAAATTACGAGTAAAAACAGACTGGAAGAATCTTTGGGTAAAATTAGCAACTATAGTCAAAGAGTTCATTAGCTACAGATATTGTGTCCTCCTAAGTCTTTTATCCATTCAAAGGTGACAACTTAATCCAGTGGTATTTATTGGTGGGGCATTTGGTATGTGGTAAGATTAGACAAGGTCATTATTAGAGCCTCCAAGATGACATGTTTGTGGGCCAAGAAGAAACCCAGCAAAAGGACATATATATTCATATAAGCGCCCCACTTCCTGTCATGTGATTACCAGAGGACAGCAAACACTACATTCAGCCCCTTGGACCCAAGTGAATGTCTTTAAAACTTACCCAGCCCGACGTATTCAATTATTAAGAGAAAATAAAAACTACACTAACACAGCTATCCAGATTAGAAGTCAAACACGGTTAGGGAAAATAAGGATACAGGCTTTAAGAGGCTTTTTTTTTTTTGAGTGTGTGGGTATATACATGGAGGTCAGAGGCCAACTTTTGAGTCAGTTTTCTCCTTCCACCAAGTGAGTTCAGAGATCAAATTTAGGTCATCAGGCTTGGAGTTAAGTACCTTTACCCTGTGAGCCATATTACCAGGCCCAAAATCGCTTTGCAGAAGAACCAAGAATTTAAAGAGTTAAGTAAGTTGGGGTGGGCAGCATACTTTCAGATATAAGGGAGATGAAATCTGTGGAGAAAAGGCAAGAAACAGAGCAGAGGGAATCAGCAACAGGGCCTGCTGAAGCCCCGTGGTGGGAGGCACTTTCCTGTGTACTCAGCTGGTCTCGCAAAGCAGAAGCTATTATGCCAGAAAAAAAAAAAAAAGGCAACTTGATACAGACATCGGGAGCAAATTTTCTGTTATTTTAAAGGCCCTGTTATTTTTTTTTATAACTATTCAAGTTTAATGAAATTTCTAGGTTAAGTCTCCAGGGGAAAACTTGCTAATTCTATTTTTCCCATGACTAATAATAATTAAAAAAAAGTTCAGTAGACAACTACTTCTGATCACAGTGCTCGGCTTTAAAGCATTCATCTCCCCACCCCCATTTATTTTGGGTTTTTTTGAGGCAGGGTTTCTCTGTAGCTTTGGAACCTATCCTGGAACTCCCTCTGTAGACCAGGCTGGCCTCGAACTCACGGAGATCCGCCTGCCTCTGCCTCGCGAGTGCTGGGATTAAAGGGGTGCGCCATCACGGCACAGCTACAGCATTCTTTATTAACGAGTTAATGCGCACTACACAGGAAAACGCAGTGGCATGTGCCTGTAAGCTCAGCTTCCACGAAGGCTGAGGCAGGAAGATGGTTATGAGCAGAGAAAGGAGATAGAGACCTGTCTCAGCAACACAGTAAGAGCTCGTTTTTTGAAAAGGGTTGCATTACTGCCACCAACGTGCACTGTGATTTACACACCTGTGCAACATTTACCTATGCATTTTAAATAAAGCACACATATGAACACTCGTGTAAACACACACACACACAATCTTTCTCTCGTACATATATTTGCAGTGCTAGGATAATATCCAAGGTTCCTCACATTCCAGGCAAGTGTCATAAAACTGAACTGAACCCCCAGCCCTAAAAAGAGCATGTTTTAGTAATGGGTTATTTAAGAAGCTTAACATTAAAGTGTTCAAATTTTTAGGCATGGATTTGCTAGTAAAGTATTTGGATAATACTGAATAGCTATCTGGATTTTCTAATATTAAATTATTAGGTGACATTTAATAAATCTTGCCAATAAGAAACCAAGTAAAAAAGGTGTAAGAGCACACAAACATTCAGGCTTCTAATATTATTCTGTAATTTAGGAATTCCTACTAATTCCAATATTACTCCATGTAAATTGCATGTATATGTACTTTGAGGGTAAACTAAACTAGAAGTTTTGATGGGTTCTTACAGGTAATCTTATTGAGACTCTTAGCTTGTACTGTGTGGGAGAAATCACTTTATAGTTCCGTGACATGTAGAAAGTACAATGGCCCCCAACACTATCTGGCACACGTACACACTCTGTACAGCACCTTCCTGCTAGAGGATAGGACCTGCCAATCTAACAGACGATTCCTCTTGGAATGGACCAGAATGCACCAAATGGGAAAGGATTTTGCAACTGTAATAAATGTACCTATTTAGTTTGGTCTGAAGTTTAATCAAAGGGAACTTACCCTGGGGTGTGAGGGACCTGACCTTATCGAGCCAGCTCTTTAAAAGAGGGCCTCCCCTGAGATCCCAAAGTTTCCTGGTAGTCTTGAAGAAGCAAGCGGCCAGGAAAGGATTGTGTTGCAGGAGCGCAGAGAGCAAGAGCCCCCACTTCAGATGAAACTGTAGCCTTGTCAGGCCCTGAGTAGAGGGTCAAACTCTAACTAGATTCCTGACTACAGAAACTGTGAAACAACAAACACGTCATGTTCTAGGGCAACAAACTTGAGGTAATTAGTTATTAGTCTTAAAAGACAAAACTTCATTTATTTCTAACTTTTTGTTGAAGCTGAACAACAGAGAATTGGAAAAGAGTGTTCCGTGAGTTATACTGATGTTACAACAAACGCACCATCACCCTATGAAGTGTAGTCAAGGTAAACCTAACTAGACCCTCCCACCTACATTTTAATGAAGTGTAGATAGTTCCAAATATAGAAACGTTCTAGGTTTGGCCTAGCACAATGTGGAAAATACCAGTTCCACCATACCACATGGCTACTGATGCCTTTCAAAATTACAAAATGAAACATAGATGAAATTGAGGCAGGGTTTCTCTGTGTAGTCTTGACTATCTTGAACTCATTCTTTATACCAGGTTGGCCTCTAGAGATCCTCCACCTGCCTCTGCTGGGATTAGCGGCATGCACCACCATGGTATGATGAACAGTATTAAAGTATATTTTAGACTAGGTCTACTCACACATCTTAACACAGTATTTTTATTTTTGTAGCACTTGAAAAGGGCTTGGGGTTAAACATGGCAGTTTAAGAACATGAAATATAATAACAGTTAGCTTATTAGACTTATTACTCTATTTCCCCCTTATCAGATATAATGGTTTTTGTTAAAATTCAATCAGTTTCCTAGGTCACTGAAGAATTTTTTAAAAAGTTGTGTTATTTGGGACACATTTTAGATATAGAAAAGCACACCTTAGAATTATAGAAAAAAAATCAATGTCCCATAGTGATCATAGTTAGAAACAAGTATTTAGACATTCAGGTAGCCCTTAGAGATGTGAATATTGTTCCCACACATTTTGTTTTAATTCCTGAAGCAGGATCTCATGACAATACAACCAAGGCTGTATTTGAACGAGGTGACTCTCCTGCCTCAGCTTTCTGAGAGCTGGGATCACAGGCATGACACCATGCTGAGCTACCTGCCAGAATACTTTATATACAGGTACCTATTACAAGCTCAGTGATTACTGTTTAATTAAAAAATAGTAATTATATAAGGGAGTACATGCTCACCTTCCCAGAATTCACACTTTATGCAAAAAATAGGCTTTGTATGCAATCTATCATTTGGAGCCACATGTTGGCTATGACAGTATTTAAAATATAGCTCAAGCTGTTTCTTAATCCCATTGACTTGGGAAAGTGAAGGAAGGTCAAAACCTTGGTGTCAGCTGGGAAAGGTGCAAGTGTAGACGGCGTCAACTGAACAAACTCTGTGGACGGCAATACTAACATGCCAGGACGAAGTTACAGCTTTCATGACGTCTTATGCTGGTTCTAGGAAAAAGGCTTAAGACAGGCAAGAAGCTAACAGAAGCCACTGAGGTATGCTCTAACTTAATATTAGACAGAAAAAGAAATCCACACATCACACACACACCCCATGTAAAACATTGTTTTAAGTTTTAATGTTTATTTCCCCAAGACAGCCTAGCCTGTATTCTACTTGGATAAATTTTACAAGCTAGTTTTCTGCTGCTTCTAGTTTTAAACTTTAACCATGTTTTTGATGACAAGGAATGCTGCAAAAATACTCTAGTTCAACAAAGAGTTATGATCACAAAATAATTTTTATCCATTCTACAGTGTTTCAGAATTACCAGTTGATTTTTAAACACAAAGTAGATATAGATGCTAATGGTGGCTAACCTGGTATGTTTCTTATAGCAAACTGTTGTTCATGCAACACTTGTGCTCAAAGGGGAAGGCACAGGAGTTCCTACAATGAGCCACCTTATAAAGAGTTCCTTTTGTACAAATTAATTTATGACATATTTAATTTAGTGTGCGTAACCTCACAACTGAGGTATTATTCCAATTTATAAAAACCACTTGCATAACTTTTATGCAAGTTTTAAAAATACAAAGTTTTCTCCCTAAAGTGGCTCAAAATAGATTGTTCATGGCTGCCTACATCTAAGATAAAAAGATTCTAAAACAATTCAACAGATTAGGCATATTATTGAAGGTGTTCAAACCATTACTTGATTTGTACATCTACTCAAACCCCTTCATCGGTCTTTATTCAGCAGTACATATGCACCAAATTCCATTTCAGAAGCTTCCATATCATTTTCATAGAAAACAAAATCTGAAAACAAGTTAACATTTCAACACAGCACAGTATTCTAGCACAACTGAAACTTCTCTTCTTTACAGGACTCAACGAAATCTAAAAATGAACTATGCTGTAGATTTACCTCATGCAAAGATCTTTATGTTATCTCTGAAAATGAAAAGAATGGCTTTTAAAGCACATTTTATACTATTATGGCAACTTGTGTGCTGCAACACAGTCTACTGTGAGGGAAATTTATGATTTTTTTCATGCAAAAATCTACACAAATTAGTTTTGATGATATGGAAAGCTTTTCATAGCATCAAACACTCATCTGGTGCAAATGCACAGGGAAACCTTCCTGAAATTTTCTGACTTGAGAAGCAACTAAAAAAGCCATACTAGGTAAATAAAAACTAAATTAAAAAAAGGGGGAGAGGGGGAAGGTAGAAGGAGAATAGAAAACACAGGCTGCAGAGTAAACCAATGTCTGCTGCTAAACCGGTCTTTGTTTTCATGTCCAGTGTACATTAACACTTGTGATCTCACTTTGATGATCTACTAGGTTTGTTATCAGCCCCCTGAAGGCGAATCAAGCTTGCATGCGTCCACATACAGCACCACAACCACACTCTACACAGTCACTCCAGGACTAGGAGTCCAGGGCATGCGTGAAGAGCCCTAGATTGGAAAGATGAACCTGGCTCTCTACCACGGAGCCAGACACTCACTCACCACTGTCCACTCACACTGCTTCTCAGCAAGCCTGGGCTCATTTCCCTTGACTTCCATGGGCATCGCTTTCATGCTTACAAGGCTTGATGACGACAGCACTTCACTTCCCTCCATTGACAGAGGGAGTCAGTGCTCCTTCTCAGGCACCAACACCTGTGACCTGTAGCCCGTTTACTCTCAACCTAAATAAGCATTCACGTCAACCTTTCCTTACATTGCCACTCATTCTCACTCGCACCCACTCGCCACCTTGACCTCATTTGGGCATATTCTGCGATTCCAAATGAAATCTTCACATTTTCTCTCCCGATTTAATGCAGCAGCAGATCCCATGAGCCAAGCTTGATGGATCGAACCTTTTTATATATATGTGTATATATATATATATGTCTCAGTGCTGCATTGTACCTAGCTTCCACAATATCTTTCTAAAACTGGAACCCCTCAGTTGGTACATTGGCAGATGAATTGAAACCAAATGTTCCACCTTGAACTGCCTCTGGAACAAGGCCAGGATCTTCATCAATCTGAAGGAAAAGACAAAAAAAAAAATAATAATGTGATGATTAGCTTTAAAGCACATAAAAACTGAAGAAATAAGAAAATACATGATAGAAACCTTACAGAATAGTAAACTGGAAATGACCTCAGATTCCAAACTGAGAGGGAAAACGGTGGTACTTACTGTAATTTCTCTCATACTTAGGAAAGCAAAGGTACTGGCATTAAATTAAAAAAATGAAAAGTTGGGGGCTGGAGAGATGGCTCAGTGGTTAAGACCACTGCCTGCTCTTCCAAAGATCCTGAGTTCAATTCCCAGCAACCACATGGTGGCTCACAGCCATCTGTAATGAGATCTGGTGCCCTCTTCTGGCCTGCAGGCATGCATACAGGCGGAACACTACACTTAGTAAATAAATAAATCTTTTTTAAAAAAATGAAGTTTCAGGCACGGTGGCACAGTCTGTGACCTTAGCACTTGGAGGGAAGGCAGAAGGATTACTGTGCACTTTCTGTTTCATCTACATAGCGAGTTCGAGGACAACCCGTACCACAAAGGAAGAAAGACCCATGGTTCAAAAACCAGAACCAAAACCCTCAAACAAACAAACCTACATTAGCAGAAAGTAAATGTTCTAATTATAGTTTTGGAATATACAAGCTATGTTATTCCTAATTACAAATTGAGACTTCCAAACTTTCAATTTTAAGACATAATTAGCTGGGTGGCAGTGCACGCCTTTAATTTCAGCACTTGGAAGGCAGAGGTAGGTGGATCTCCGAGAGTCTGAGGCCAGTCTGGTCTACACAAAGAGAACCTGCCTACAAAAAAAAAAAAAATTTACACAGACATGATTAGAGCTATTTATCCTTAAGGAGCATGCTTTGTTTGCATTTTTTTCTGATGTATTTAACTTCATATTTAAATAGGATTTAGTGTGGGCATTTCTCTTTCTATTTGTTTAGATTATCATGTGGGTACTGGGTCTGCTGTAAGAGCAAGTGCTCTTAACTGCTGAGTGAACTCTCTAGCCTGTCTTCCTATACTTGCATATTTATTTATTTACTTGTTTATTGTATGTGTATGTGTGTGTATTTGTCAAATGGTACAGATGTGGAGGTCAGAGTACAACTGGGAGAGTTAGTGCTTTCTTTCCGTCATGTAGGCTGATTTGGGGACTGAATTCAGACTGTCAGTCTTGCCCCTATGAGGCTTCTTGCTCGTCCTAGTGAGGACTTTTCTAGTGGCTTATGGTTTTCTCTAATATGTTACTCTTTTTAGTAATGTGAAATGTGTTATGAAACTTAGTTCTTGTTAAAAAAAAAAACCAACAAACTAAACTAAAACACTCCACCTTATGTTATATGTATGGGTATTTAGCTTGAATGTATGTTTGTGAACCACATGTGTGCTTAGCATGGAGTCCAAAAACAGGTGTCAGGCTCCCTAGAACTGGAGTTACAGATGGTTGTGAGTCACTAAGTGGGAGCTCAGAATTGAATCTAGGTCCTCTGCACGAGGAGCTAGTACTTTTAACCCCCTGAGCCATCTCTCCAGCCCCGAAATTTATTTCTTGAAAAGTTGGGAAAAAAATTCACATACTGAGCCAGGCGGTGGTGGCGCACACCTTTAATCCCAGCACTTGGGAGGCAGAGGCAGGCGGATCTCTGTGAGTTCGAGGACAGCCTGGTCTACAAGAACTAGTTCCAGGACAGGCTCCAAAGCCACAGAGAAACCCTGTCTCGAAAAAAAAAAACAAAAAAACAAACAAACAAAAAAATTCACATACTGTGTAGTGGTACATGTCTTAGCCTGAGCACTTGGAAGGCTAAGCAGGGAGACTGCATATAGTTCAAGGACAGCCAGGCACATACAGCAAAACATTTTCTAACAAAACCCAAACAAATAAACAACTCTTTAATTTTAACTACTATTTAGTGGAACTCTAAATATATTTTTATGTACTGCTCCATATATTACATAATGCATTATATTTTGAGAATTTGTTATGTTCATCTTGTCTCTTTACCTTATTTGCTTTTAACCAGCAATAAAAGAAACGACATTTGAAAATACGGACTAAGGGTTTATTGCAGGTTACACTACTATTAGTCATTTTGTTTGCTTGGCCTTTTTTTTGTTGTTTTATTTTTTTTTTTTAAATTTCTTACTTTTCCCCCCAAAATAAGGTTTCTCTATAGCTTCAGGGTCTGTCCTGGAAATAGCTCTTGTAGACCAGGCAGGCCTCAAACTCAGAGATCTGCCTGCATCTGCCTCTTGAGTGTTGGGATTAAAGGCATGTGTCACCACTGCCCAGCTGCTTATTTTTGATTTTTCCTTTTCCTTCCTTCCTTCCTTCCTTCCTTCCTTCCTTCCTTCCTTCCTTCCTTCCTTCCTCCCTCCCTCCCTCCCTCCCTCCCTCCCTCCTTCCTTTCTTTCTTTCTGAGACAGGTCTCACGTAGCCCTGGAAGACCTTGAATTCACTATAAAGCCAAAGACAGTCTCTAACTCATGGTCCTTCTCCTGCATTTGCTTCGTAAACAGTGGGTTAGAGTTGAGCACCATCACACTTACTGCCACTGTTTTTTGTTTTGTTTATAGACATGTTATTATTGCCAATTTAAAAGTATGAGAACTTAGCTGGGCAGTGGTGGCATGTGCACTTAATCCCAGCCCATGGGAGGCAGAGGTATGCTGATCTTTGTGAGTTCAAGGCCAGTCTTGTCTACAGAGCAAGTTCTAGGACAACAGGGGCTATAGAGAAACCAAAAAGAAAAACAACAAAACAGCAACAATAGTATGAGCATTAGAAATGAGCTTATCCAGTATAACAAAATTTTTTTGTTATTGAGTTAATATCTTAAAAGGATTTAAAAAATACCAAAATTTGTTTTCAAAAAAAGTGCCATTACTGTCACATCTATGTTAGCTGTATTGCATAAAATTATACACATGTACACATCCTAGTTTTCTGTACTCTTTCATCCACATTGCTTAGCATAGGAAACTATAAACACATGTATAAGTACATCGTCTGAAGAGAAGAACTGGTCAATGATCTCATAGGCCAATTTGTAGATGTCTTCATTTTCATGATTCTGAAGTTGTTCAATTTTCTCCAGTCCTGCAAGAAATTTATGAAGTGAACAATGGTAATTAATGTGCTAGAAATTACAGTAACTTTCAAACACATAATGCAATCTTCCTACTCTAAAATTGCTGGGTTATGTCTTTGGCATCTACTGCATTGATGAGTTCTAACTAAGATTTCATAAAGAATACATTTACTTTAAAAAGACTAACAATCTGAGCAACAGCATGCAAATGTGTAAATTAATAATGTAGCAAATAAGTAAATTATAGCCCCAGCGTTCAAAAAAATAGTGTAAAATTATTTTTTGATTTATTTTTCAAGCATTTGCCCAGCTTTTTCTGAGTTAATATGTATGAAAAAGAAACTGAAGATCCTGGCAATAAATACAATTACTCTATGATACTCACTGAAAACAATCTGGTCAACCAGAGTATCTCAGGGGAAGGAGAACTGACCTTCAGTATGCTCGTTAGATCTTAGGCAGGACTCACTCATCTGCTTCACAGAAGTCATTCTAGGCCTGCTGCAATGAAGAGCAGTTCCTCTCCCCCATGGGGCACTCCTCTACTCACTCCCTGGATAGAGGATGACCATGGGCGCGTGCCACAACTCACTCTCCTCTTGGTGCTTCTTCCATTACAACTTTAGTTACTACATATAGACTAAGGACTTGTAATTTGTTAGCTCCACTACTTCTTAGAATTTCATTAAAATAAAAATTCAAATGCCTGCATACTTCTACAGGGACATCTCAAAAATTTCTAAAACTTAAACTATCTGAAAAACAATCATTACTTGGCTCCATGATTTAAACTTTTCATCTGCAATTCTTTCTCAATAATCAACAATATCTTGGGATCTAAGAAAGCTTGCATCCCTTCCCCTCAATCTAATCTGAATACCTCCCATAATCATCCTGGAGTCCTGGTGTCCTTCCCTTGTCTACATTATCACTGCCTTCACTTTTGTGGCCTGTCTACTATGTACTTTGTTAACTGCTTTCTCTACCTCCCGTCTCCAAAGGCCCCATGTGCCAGACATCCATCTGAACATATCCACTTAGATAAATGTACCAAGGGCCTGTCATTCTTTATGGAAAAACTCACTGAAATTTGTAAAACACAGACTCCTTACCAACAGTACGGCAAGTAATGCTCAAAAACTTTAAATTAAAAAATACAAACTTATTTTACTCATTACAATGTCTATCTGGTAAAAAAAAAAATCAAGTGGTAAACAAATTTTCTTATCTGTTTTACTGATTAGTTTAACCTATTCCCTTTGCCCTCTTCCCACTTTGATGGTTACTACACTATTTTTTTGTTCTCTCATGCCAGCAATTTTAATATGCCTATATCTTATTCATTAATGATAGTATTAAATATCTGTTTCTATTGTTTCTTCTACATTATGTTTTACAGGGGTGGGAAAGCACATACTGAGGATAGATAGAACACAGTGCTTTAAGCGTACAAGTAAGCAGTTATAGAACTGTATACCAGTGTCTTGATGCCCATTTTTTATTTTCATTAGTTTACCAGTCTCTAGATTCCCCATCTATCTATCTATCTATCTATCTATCTATCTATCTATCTATCTATCTATCTA